AGTGCAGATTCTTGCGACTAGGCTACCAGAGCTCCCCCTCCATTGGCTTCTTGAGATTGTAGATCTCTTGGTTGGAGATTGCCCATCTTTCTCTTGTGAGGCCGCTGGTGGAGTAGAACTGCTGGCATTTCAGTCAGCAGGGCAACACACGAGGCACTGTACCTCTGAGCTCTTTTTTCAAATGAGGAGAGAGCCAGACATTGCATTTTATCTCCATTCTTGTTCTGTAGAGATTTTTGTGCAGAAAAAAATTTAGCCACATTGAGGGGGAGAAAATTCTTAGGGCAACTCATTATCCACTAGTTAGTGTGTGTTCTTCCACTCATATGTTTACTCACTCGGTAAACCCGGCTTGAGTGCCACCAGGGGGCCTCACAGGGGTGGTCTTGGCTCCGTAGATATCAGGGATGTGGGTTCCAGTTTGGTGACTCCTTGGGTAACTGTGATTAACATTTCATGTTAAATGAAAAGGAGCTCAGCCTGATGGGTGGTTATAATTCCTATTTCTCTTGTCCACATTTGTTTCTTCAATGCAGATACAGGAAAAAATGCACTGTTGTTGAATCTTTTTCAAGTTTTCTTACCAGAGGATCATTTGAACAGCTGACTGAAGGTAAGAGCCGTTAAAATTAATCTCTTTCTTTTCAAAAATTTCTTCTCCCTTCTCAGGTCAATACACATATTTTATTCTGTGTAACAACTTTGTTGTATTCTGTAGGATGCGTGAATCACAATTAACCTTGATTTCCTCTTAGTGAGGGATGTTGTTGCTAGGTGCTCTTAAGTGGAATACAACTCTTAGCGACCCATGAGATAAACACACTAATTTTATCTTTTCACTCTTACACATTGTACTGGCTCTGTGTTTCATTTTAAGGTATATTTCAATTTTTACAAGTATGTCATAGAATAGATTCCTAAAAGTGAAATTATGGGTTCTGAGGGTTTGAAAAATTTAAAATATTTATAGTGACTTTTTTCCCCCTCCAAAGAGTTGAATCAATTTAGAGTCTTACCATTTATGTGTGAGAGTTTTTATTTTGCACACTATATTGAAACTTCCTCCCCCAGGGTAAAAGTAATGTTACATTTCTAAAGAAAGTGATAATATTTCATAGTATAGAAGACATTTGGTTTGTGGACCTTTAGAATATTCAGGAATCCAGGAGAGGCGGTAGCACACTGATTGGATGGAAATGATCCCTGCTCTTGTCCCCATGGAGTTAGGGTAGAGTTCCGTCATCAGCAGCTACGTGAGTGCTGGCCTCTAGTCAGTGAGAAACATCCAGAAATCTTGTAAAAGATGCAGTGTATTCTCTAAATGTGACCATTGTAGAAGTAGTTTCCACAGTCCAGGGATAACTTGGTGCCCGTGTTGGCATTGTCAGATTTACTCTCTGAAAGCAGTAATAACACAACAGTATAATTGTGACTGATTCAACTGGGAGCAATTCTGGATCCTGGTGTCTGATTCATTCCCATAGCAGGCAGCTCAGGCACATTTTAAAATGTGTTTTATGAGGAAGTTTTGTTTATTTTGTCAGAAGAAGGCTGTCAGTTTGTTACGACATAGGGGTAGAACCTTGTGGGTTTAGTTTCTTGGCATTACAAAGAACCTTTATTTTTATGTGATGACTAGTACATTAAGTAGTAACACATTTTTATATCCTATTATCTAGTACACTTCTATTACAAGAACTTAAGAGCAGCCCAAAATAGACTGCCATAAGTATGTTCTGCTTGTCGAAAAGTCACTTTATGCCACCTCATTTCAATGAAAGACCTGCTTTGTTACCAGTTTTTACAAACTAAAAGAAATCTAAAAGAGAATTTTGTTTTTATGGAAATTTGCAAAGAAATGAAAGTCACATTCAGCATTTATTCTTGAGCTGTATGTCTAGTGTGGGTAAGAACACTTGGGTCATGTGAGGATCAAGTGTGGAAAAGATTGTAAGACATGTTCACGTCTTTGACCTTGCTCCAGAAGGGTGTGTTGTTGACCCTGGAACCATTATAGGACAGAATGCCATCTGACTGCTCACAGAGGCAGCTAGAGCCCGCCTTTTCTTCCGGAAGTGGTCTCCAAGTACCCATAAACAGTTGTTTATGCCCTTGATTACAGATAGAATTTATCTTCTTATCATCATTGAGGCATTTTATGCAGTTAGGACCCGGTAGGCCTAAGGTATAGTAGAGTGGGTAAATTCAGAATTAAATAGGCCCGGAAGAAGTGTAACCTTTCCTTTCAGATTCTCCTTTCTGTTCATTTCTATGTGACTTCTTTTCATGCCCACTTCTCCCATGCTCACTGCCTTACCCCCACCCCTACCCTTTCTTTGCAGTACAAGGGTCTGACATTTCTGTTATGGGGGTTCTTAACCTTAATTTGGGTGGAAGAATGACATGATGGTTTTAGTGTCAGTATGAAGAATAACAATAACTTAAAAGTAGTAAAGTAGTAATGGTAATACAGTATCTCCTTTAAAAAAAAAAAAAAAAGAGTACGAGACATCTATATGCCCATTCCCAAGAAAGGTGATCCAACAGAATGTGGAAATTATGGAACAATATAATTCATATCACAAGCAAACAAAAGACTGCTGAAGATCATTTAAAAAGGGCTAGAAGAGTACGTAGATAGACGTGCCAGGAGTTCAAATAGGATTTAGAAGAGGCCATGGGACCAGGGGTATCATTCTAATGTCAGATGGATCCTGGCTGAAAGTAAAGAATACCAGAAAAGTATCTGTTTGTAGTTTATTGACTATTCAAAGGCACTTTGCCTGACATTGAGTGGGAATAGGAACACTTAACTGTGCTTATGGAAAACCTACACGTAGACCAAGAGGCTGTTGTGCAAATGGAGCAAAGGAACACTGTGTGGTTCAAAATCAAGACAGGAGTGCATCAGGGTTGTATGTGTTCTTTCTCCACACCTGTCCAATCTGTATACTGAGCAAATAATTCAAGAAATCAGACTCTATGAGGAAGAATGTGGCATCAGGATCAGAGGAAGACTCATCAATAACCTATGCTATGCAAATGACACAACCTTGCTTGCTGAAAGTCAGGAGAACTTGAGACACTTGCTGCAGAATGTCAAGGACTTCACCCTTCAATATGGATTATACCTCAACATCAAGAAAACAGAGATCCTTGCCACAGGACCAACAGTCAATATTATGATAGATGGAGAAAGGATTGAAGCTATCAATGATTTTATCTTCCTTGGATCAGTGATCAACAACACCCTTGATACCAGCAGTCAGAAAATCAAGAAATGTATTGTATTGGATAAATCCCCTGTCAGGTACCCCTCCAGAATGCTGAAGAGCAATGATGTCAGTTTGAAGAATAAAGTGTACCTGATTCAGGCCATAGTCTTCTCAGTCACCTGCTGTGCATTGGAGAGCTGGACTGTAAATAGATGACATCAGGAGAATTGATGCCTTTGAGTTTTTGTGCTGGAGAAGAGTACTGAATATCCCGTAGGCTGCTAAGAGGACAAGTAGGTATGTCTTGGAGAGGGTGCAGCTGGAGTGCTTCTTGGAGGCAAAGATGAGGAAGCTTTGTCTTTCATACTTTGGACATGTAGCTAGGTGAAGCTGTTCATTGAGAAGAACATCATGCTTGGAAGGATGGAATGTCACTGAAGGGGAGGAAGATGCCCTCTCCCCCCACCCCGAGAGGGATTGACGTGGAGACTTCAGCAATGGGCTGGAGTGTTGAAGAGGTGGTGATGCTGGCACAGGACAGGAAAGGGTTTGGGTTGGCTGTTCATAGAGTCACCATGAGTCATACTCTGCCTGATAGCACCTAAGGGCAATAACAGCAACAGATGTCCCAGACGGTCCTGGGTGCATTCCTCCATGTTGCCCAGTCATCTAGGTCACTTCCCTTTCACAGACAAGGTGCTGTAATGTTCAGAGGAGCTGGCTCAGCTAGCAGAACAGAGTTCAGACTCAGGCTGCCTGTCCCTGAGCTGCACCTTTTCACACTCTACCCCCACACATTCCTGTAGGTAGATTCTTGTACAACTCATCGTGACTCTTTGACCAGCAGATCAAAACACTGCATTCGGGGTGAGGGGGCTGGCGTGGCAGGGCGGGGGGGATTGTATACCAATGAAGAAGTTTATCTTTTGCTTTTCAAAGAGAGGAGCGAACTGGCGGGGGGGGGGGGGAAGGGTGTGGTTAGAGAAAAAAGTGCAACAATGAATGAATGGAAATCCAAAATCTCTGTAAATGTTCATTAAAACTAGTAAAATAAATTTTTTTAACCACCCCCAAAAAACAAACCAAAAAACCCCCCCAAAACCAACATGGTCCGGTCCTGCACCATTCTCATAATCTCCACCATAGTCAAGCCCATTGGTGCAGTCACTGTGTTAATGTCACTTGTTGAAAGGGCAAAACCCACATCATTTATGGATAAGAAAAATGCTGGATTATCTTGAAAATAGGTGATACTGTATTTTTTTTAGGAAAGGTCTTTAAAATATGGCACATTATAAAATATGAGGGAAAGGTAGAACATTTAACTATTTAACCATTAAAAAGTAAAATAGCCTGTGACCACTGGCAGATTGCTCTAAGAGAATCTTTAAGCCTTAAACCAAAAGTATACCCTAGAATGTTAAAACCAGACACTTGTTTTTGTGAGGTGCCGTCCAGTTGATTAGTAAGTCAAGTTTAGCTTGACTAGTAAGAGATGTGTGCCTTAAGCATTGCACTGAAGATCCAGTGGGATCACGTTGACAACAGCAACTTGAACGATAGGACATTGCTGAAGGGGCAGTGAGTTTATGTTGTTGGGGGATGAGCAAGTTGGACACGGGAGCCAAGAGTGTAATCAGTGGCACTGAATTGTCCGTGGAGAATTTGTTGAATTCATGTATGTTCTGCTGTTTGCATTCATAAAAACACAAAAATAGAAAATAGCTTGTGACCATAACTTATTCTGAAGCACGTGTTTACTTAGGCTTTCATATTTAAAGGCTTTGCTGAGCTGACATTTTAGTACATTCTGAAGGTATCTCCTTAAAGTAAACTAAAAAATTTACAGGTAATAGATACTCTCTAAGTACCTGTGCATAGATGCTTAACAGCTGATTTCACTAAGAACAGCCAAACATGAAGCAACCCAAGTGAAGAATTAAGAGTTTTATAAATGAAGTTGCATTTTATTCCTAAGGAATTTGGCTGTCACTGTGTCCCAGCCAGATTTTGTGTTCAAGAGAGCATGTCAAAACATTGTAGCTTGAGTATGTGATTTGTTTTTCCTCTTGGTAATTTTCATTTACATCCATGAGTGACTGGTTGTCTGCAGGAGTAAGTATATTTAATTAAACTTTTCATGGTTTGAAATGGAACACACCCGCTCTTCTTTATGGCTGGTGTAAATTGGTTTCAAATTGCCTTTGAAAAGCAGATACTTGTTTGCAGCATGTAGAGTGTGAAAGGCTTTAACGTGAAGAATATTTATATATTGAATATAGAGTTCAGACTTTTCTGACTTTTATTTCTGCATTCTCATTATGTCCTTTGTGCAGTGCTTAATTTGTCTGTCCTTAGGCGAACCCTTACTACTTACACATCTAGCCTCTTGGTCAGTTCTCGGCAAGGACACATTGTTGCTCCTGAATTAAGCTGCCATTCTGGCTTTGAAAGTCATTCATAATTTAGGCCCAGCTTTCTAGCGTCTTTACCAAGCCCTCCCCTTTGTACTCTGTGTGCATCAGCCGGAGGTGGACCACTGTCCCTTCCCTGCAGGTCCTCCAGGCCCTCCCTCCTTCCTCTCCTCCTCTTTCCTCCAGTTTGGACTTCCTCTCTCTCTGCACATGCCCAGAGTCAGAAATCTGTGTTACTGAGACATTCAGGTGAACTCCTACCGAGTCCCGGTTTTATCACAAATTTACCTAGTGAGGGAGTATTCGGGTGACTGCAAGAATAATTGTCACTAGTTTTTATCCCATTGGACCCTGGAAAAATGCCACGGGGCCTTTAGAAGGGAAATATTCCTAAAGACTGAGACGCTTCCAGAAGGTGCCCCGGCCCTCATTCCTCAAGGTCTGCCTTTGGTGGGTTCAGATTCACCAGTAATTGTGCTGCTGGGAATTTTGACTCGATAGTTGCTTCTCTGGAAGTTTAACATTGGGAATATGAGGGCAGGAGGAAGATGAATTTCTGGAAACCATCAGTCAGCATGTGCTGGAGGAAGTCCCCCAGTGTGTCTGTGAAGGAAATAAAGCACTGGCCTTACTGTAATTTAATTCAAGAACGTTCCCAATAACATGGAAATACTTTGTTTCAGTCCTTGACTTCTCTCAGAAATGTTCTACTTTCTAAGCTTGTACCGTAAAAGCATGGCATGAACCGCTAGCACCAGTGTAAGTGGACAAGGCTCTTAATTTCTGTTGTTAACTCTGGATTGTGTGAGAGTGCTCCAGGCAGCACCTCACCAAACCCGTCAGCTGTGCAGTAGAAAACTTTACCAGCCACTTTATAAGTGAAGAGACTAGCAGGCAGCTTGTTCCAGGTCCTGCCATTCACAGATGGCAGAGTCTGCCCTCCAGCCAGGCTGTTAAACACCCCACATTGTTTACTTAAATCATTTACCAATTTGCATCTCCTGGATAAAGCAGGAATCTGCTGTTTGGCTTATGCAGAAAAGCTAAGATAGTACTCCCTGATGTCTGCAAGTACTGTGGATTGTTTTGGAAGATCTGACATTTGGACACTCCACACGTCCTTAGATATGTATAGCTTTGCATCACTCCTTTTGTTCTTGTGCTAAATAACTATATAGTAAAAAAACTGTGATATTCCTATGTTGGCATCCGGTCCCCGATGCATGAGAAGCCATGTCTTGGTTATTTGGGGTAGCTGTTTACACAGAACTCTATGTATATACTGCTTTCTTTTGGAGTTAATGTGTAGTCACTACCACAAGTGTCAAATCTACATATGTAAGGGGCCTAAGATTTGTAAGTTAATTTGTGTTTCTTCCCCCAAATCTTTAGAATGGTGTTAAACTTACAGTCTATCGTTAATTTTTTGGGGTGGTTTTTTAAAAAGAAATGGTTATTCCTTTTTTTTTTTTTTCAAAGTGTTTTTAAATTTGGAGTTCCTCTTGGGAACTGAGTTTGTGTCTGACTCTTTGCAGTTATATTTGAATAAGATGTGTCCTGGAAGCGTCACACATTCCAGGAAGATCTAGCTGAGAGAGAGAGAGCCTGAGGTTTTAATTTACTTCTATGGAAGAAACAAAGCCATCTAGAGTTTCGTCTCTCTTGAGCCCATTTATCCGCCAGTCTTGTCTGGACATCTCAGGACAGTTACCACTGGGATTCTCTTTAATCTGATTTTGTTTGTTTTTAATAGAGGAAATGCATGCCGAAATCTGTTATGCCGAGTGTCTCCTACAGAAAGCAGCACTCACGTTTGTACAGGTAAATGAACATTTAGCTTAGAATTGGTGCTGGCTGGGGAGACCGCGGTGCTCCTGAGAGAAATGTGACTGACGATGCCTGTGCTTTAAAAGTTCTTTTGACTGAGAGATACAATGAAATTGGTTACTCTGATAAACTTTGGCAGAAATACTCTAGGGAGCTTTAGTTCTGCTCAGATGTACTGAGAGTCTGCTGTGACCCTCAATCTACTGGAAATCACAGCCTTTCAAAGCCACTGTCTTTGAACTGTCACCCCAACTTTGGCTTCTTCTCTGTCTGACAGCTGCCATGACTCCCCTCTGCACTTGCTAATGGCTGGGTGCTGCACACAGGAGTGGCTGGGGTAGAGGAGGCTCCCTTGGTCCTTGGCTGGTCCTTCTCTGCACTTGAAGCTTCAGCAGCACTGAGTTATGCATGCACAGATAGCCACACTTCTCATGCGCTCTTCAGATTTTGTTTTTCTCCCTCTTTCCCTTCTTATTTCTTGTTCTTGGTTTTATTTTTAGAATAACAGTTTTTTAAAAAGTTCTGAACAAAAGAATGTGTCTTATCTGGTGTTTTCATTTCACCTTTTGGTACCGTTACAATCAGTACCTTGTCCAACACTTTCTTCTAACGCAGGCTTCTCCGTCATGTTGGCTGTGGTCGGTACAATACGATTGAGGAGAAATTGAAAGGAAGCAGCAATTAATGAGTACAATTAAGGAAAAAAAAAGAAACAAAACCAAACCCCCTTCTCACCCCCAGTCTTTTTAATCACCTTGAGAGCAGCACCTCTTTTTTTCTGGAAGTTGACCTCTTAGGTTGGATTCTGACTTGGTAAAATGAAACCAGTGTGAAGCGTGACCCCGCTTCCCAGAACCACATGTTCTGAAAGCTGGTTAAAAACAGTGGTCTTCCTGCCTCTATCAAGACCATGTAATGCTAGTCACAGAGGCCCAGATTCTAAAGGGGAATTTTGAAATCAGATGTCAGATTTGAAGGCCTATTTTGTCTTTGAGACTTGAAATGTCTGATGGATGTTCCTGACCTGAATCATCCTCTCCCTTCAGCCTATAGAGCCAGTCACTTTCCGTCATGTGACTTTTGCCTTTTATGGATTTAGCAGCTCCATCCCTTTTCTGGTGTTGCTGTCAGTTTTGGGGTGAAGGTACTCATCAACTCTGACCTCAGGCTCCTCCTCTCACCCCAAGTCCTCCATCCATTCTCGAGTTGAGCCCCCTCTTCACCCTGATGATCTGACCAAGCCATTGTTTCAGCATCTGGTGGCGCCCAGTGATGAGGACTGTGGTTCTGTGTTCGAATATCAGATACAGGCGAGGCTTTTCCAAGCTAAACTAGTGTGTCCCCACTGGCTTCTCTCCTCCCTCCTTCGGGCGGTTCTACTGAGAGGCCTCTGCAGACCTGAGTGCTGGGTGGAAGGAGCTCATTCTTTCTCTCTGCAGTGGATTGTTTACACCTGTTGAGTCCCACCTGCACAGATAGCCAAGCACCCCTGGGTTGCAATGCTTCCCAGTCCTTCCACCTGAGTTTTCCTTTGTTTATCAAGTTCCCGTCTGTTTTGCTTCTTTCCCCCTGGCCCTTCCTAATCATATCCTATGCTGTAACTCCTGATGCTTCTAGAAGGCTCTCCTGCCCCTCTCCGTGGCCTCCTCTGTACTCTGTGACTCCTGTGCATGTCTCTGTCCCCCGGCTGCCACCATTCCACGGCACAGGGTAGTGCTGACGTCTGACTTTGCATTCAGTGCCTGGTGTGCACTAGGCATTCAGCAAATGTTTGATGAATCATGAGATGAAGTACTTCTATTGGAAGCACAATTTAATTATGGATTTAAATTTATTGTAACAAATTCTTTTTATGGTAAATATTCATGTTATCATAAGATTCTTGCAGAAGAAGATACGCATTTAAGTTATATAGAAAAATTTTTTTTTCTTGGTTATAGAAAATTTTTTATACACTCATTCTTAAAATTGAAATTTTACACACACACGTCATTAATTAAGTTCATAAAGTAAAGTAACTTTTAGTTTCTTCTGAAGGATGCTTAAGTCTACAGGAACTAAATGCCAGAGCATCTCTGCCATGTCAGTGGACCAGAAATGTGGACCATGGTACTGTCTCCATTTGTGTCATTTATTGGAGTAACTGCCTACAGTGATTATTTGACGTGATTTATTAAAAAAACTTTTTGAGAGTCTCAACACACCTGATCCTGAAACGGCACTCATTTAGGCCAGCTGCCTCAATTTTTAGGCAATGTGAAATTAAGTGGCCCTCCTTCTCTCCCAGTGAGATGCTAGATTCGTGACTTCCGTTTTGGACTCCAGACCAGTTTTATTTTGGTGTGGAAGTGTATATAAATTAAGGTCACAAAGTTAAATTAAAGATACTAAATTAAGTTCACAAAATTAAATTAAAGATATTGCCTGCTAAAGCACCCCACAACAATAGATCTCTGGACTCAATTTATTGAAGTGTGCTGCATTGTAGTATATTCGACTTTAGAGCATATCCTTGACGTCACCCATCTTGGATGCTCTTGAACCCAGAAGGAAAAATTCAGTTGTTGATGTTGATTATTAAACTAGGTTTAGGCTGATCTGTATGGCTACTAATTGATGACTCTTGCTTTCAGTAATCGAATGTAATTCAAGGATTATTTAAACACTATATTTTTTTTGTCCTCTATTAAATGAAAAATTATGAATGAAAGTATATTGAAAGTAAAGCTAGAAGAATATGCACATTTAAAAGTTTTGTCCTCCAAGATTGTGTTTTGTTCTAATCACACAAGTATGTTAAGAATTTCTAACCAAATGATCTAATTATTTAATTGAATTTATTTTCAGGATGAAAATATGATCAACTTCATCAAAGGTGGACTCAAAATTAGAACAAGTTACCAAATATATAAGTAAGTTAAAAATTAAGATGTGATTTTTTTTTAAAATGGTCCTTGTTCCTATACATTTTGTATTTCAAATTTTTCTTAACTATGGCTAGAATTTTCATTTTTATATTTTTAAATTGGAGTTAGTAAAATGCACCCGATTTTTGCTTGCTGAGTTTGTGCTCAGTGCTGTTGTTGTTGTCAGGTGCCAGTGAGTCAGCTACAGCTCCTAGCACCTTATAAACGACAGATCTGACCCTCGCCTCATCTTGTGCCACCCTCAGTCTCTCCTGTGCTCAAGCCCATTGTTACAGTCCTTGTGTTAATCCGTCTTGGTGAGGGTCTTTTTCTCTCTTTCTCTCACCCTTCACTTTCCTCAGCCTGATGTCATTTTCCAAGATCTGGCCCCTCCTGACAGCACACCCAGAGTATGTGAGACAGAGTTTCACCATCCTCACCTCTGAGGAGCACTGGCTGCACTTTCTCCCGGACATACCTGTTTGCTCTGTTGGCAGTCCTTGGGATGTTTGGAGCTCTTTCTATCACCACAACTCAAAGGCATCGATTCTGCCTCTGTCATTCTTATTTATCATCCAACTTTCAGTGGCACAGGACAGTGGAATTTAAGATTGTGCTGTTGTTAAGTGAAGTGCCGTCAAGCCGTAGGTGACTCATAGCAACCCTATGAATGAAAAGTCCTCAACACTTGTGTGATTTTCATCCTTTCTCCAGGTTCATAGGGTTTCCAGTGGCAAGCTATTATGAAAGTGGATGCCACTCCTGCTTCCAAGCTTGTTTTAATTGGGGAGCTCCACCAAACACTGTCCACCATGGGTAATCATTATCTCATTTGACACATCAGTGCCACAGTGTTTGGCTTCACAGCAACCACGAGTTACATCTGTACGTCGAGTAGACAGACCAGGGCTATACGACACAGAAAATTTAAGATTAGATAGTGTTTTAAAAGCAAAACAGCTGGGAGGGGAAAAAAAAAAAAAAAAAAAGCAAAACAGCTGAGAAGAAAGCATATGTCTTAATATCTAATTGGATGATCTTGTTCTCTTTTTCCTAAAATAGTAAATAAACTTAAAATGGCAAATGTGTCTTTGTTTTAGACTCTAGAGCAGTGCTGATGAATAGAACTGCCGTGGTTGAAATGCTCAGGGTCTGTGTTGTCCCGTGCATTGCGCTGCACTTGTTGGGTGTAGGTTGAGTTAAGGTGAACCTAGTGATGCCAAAGTTCAGTATCCTAACTAATTTTCTCCACCCCCCCCATTTGAGTATTTCAGTTGTTCAGGGTTTTCAAATCTTCCAGCTTTGATTGAATAATTTTTTTTTTCATGCTTCTGTCATTTTTTTCTTAGTATATATTGTCCAGTCTTCTGTTATGAGGCTCATCTGTGTTTGTGATTTCTGTGTCCTCTTGATGATTTTTACCCTTTGTAGCTATGAAATGTCCCATTTTAAAGCTGATAGTATTCCTTATCTTGAAATCTAGTATGTCAGATTGTACTGTACATAGTTACGCTTTTTATTTAAATTATGTTTATTTTAGATGTACATAGGGCTTGCTGTTTTATCCAGGATGACAGCTGATGTAATTGCATTTATGACCGCTGCTTTGTTTTTCTTGGCTCTCCATCTATTCTCACCTCTTTTCCACCCATTTTCTTTCAGTGTCATTTTTTTAATTTAATTTTAAAAATTATTTTTAATTTGGTGTACCGTTGAATTGAATCCAACTGGCACAGGAGGCGTTTGCCCCTCCTTCTCCAGCAGAGCATCTGGTGGATTTGAACTGTGCACCTTTGGGATTGCAGTGCAGATTCTTGCGACTAGGCTACCAGAGCTCCCTGTGTCATTCCCCCCCCCTTTTTTTTTTAGTAAAAGTTTCAGTGTCGTGTTTCTAGACCTCTTACCAATGTTGTTGTTGTTGATTGCTGTCGAGTTGAGCATGACTCATATGAACAAAAGACCTGAGGCCTTTCTATAACTATTGCTGTTTCTCCAAGTTCATAGAGTTTCCAGAGGCATGTGGTTTAGGAAGTGGATACCACTCCTGCTTCCACATCTGTCTTAAACTGGGAGCTCCACCAAACACTGTGCACCATGGGCAGCCATGATGGCATTTGGGACCCCAGTGGCACAAGGTTCAGCGTCACAGCAACCCCAGGTTACCTCAGTGCAGCAAATTGACAGAAGAGTGCTGTATGGCCTAGGAGAGTGTGCGTTCTCCAAACAAGTTACCACATTTTCCTTTAATTTCTTGAACTTATTTAGAATACCTGCTTTAAAGTTCTTAAGATGTGGTCACCTTGGGGTAGCTTTTTCTGTTGTCTGCTTTTCCCTTGAGTATATGTCATTTTTCTGTCTTTTTTCTTAATTAGTTCTTCATTGCACATTAAATAATGGTACACTGTAGAGACTGGATGCTGTTCTTTTTCTCTGAAGAGTGATAACTTTTTTAATTAGGAAGCATTGAACTTGGCTGGATGTGAGCTGCCTTCCAGCTTTTACTCTTCTAGAGTACACAGCATCTAGAATCTGTACTCTCTCTCTGCTACCTAGCTCTTGGCTTTCCTTGATCTAATCCGAGTGCCTATACAGTTAATAGTTTAGCTAAGAATTTAGGTGACATTTTTTAGACAGACGGATTTTTATGTTTCTGTCCTGTGTCATTCTCTTCTACCTGGAATTTATCCTTTGTCCTGGTGACCTTGAATTCTGTTCTCTGAACTTTTAAGTCTGTAGGACTGTGGCTTTCTGTTGCGTTCTAACAACACCTCATTGAGTAGACTCAGAGCCCTTTCAGGTGAATAGCCATATAAATGCAAAGTTTATTTAGTAACCTTCCTCTGAAAGTTCAGGAACCTGTTTGTCAAGGCTCAAATCTCCCCTTTCTGGCCAGTTGTTTTTCCCCTCACTGTTGTGTGCCATGGTCAAATATGTTGAGATATACATTGATACCTACAGGAGGGTTAGTCACATACATACTGCTTTACTGTTACTTGAAGCTGAACCATGATTTAGTATTTGAAGAGATACTTCTTCCCACAATGACTTTATAAAGTTAATACATTTTATTAAAAATCCTGGAAGGGAACATTTTTTAGAATTTGGCATATGATTTTTAAATTCCCCCCAATATCTTTTTGAAGTTATAAAAAAATATTAAAGGGTGAGTTCCTTTTCCAGTCAACAAAACATCAACACATAAAGGGATTAAAAAGTCTCTTTTATCAGTCATATAGACCTTGGAGTTTTAAAATAGTTAATATGTGTATGTTTATCTGCTAATTGAAAGGATACACGCATACTCATGTATATATTTTTCATTTTGAAATGGTATCAGAATTATTTCCAAAATATTTCCATCTGATCTTCCTTAAATTTATGAGTGTTAATGTCTTATATGATATAATCACTAAAATCAGGAAAATAACTTTAATGCAGTATTATTTTCTACTCCAGTAGTGTTATTCACATTTCTCCAATTGACCCACAATGTCCTCTATCTGATCCTAGATCCAATTCAATCCAGAATCTTGGATGCTACTTTCAGTTGTCAAGTTTTCTTAGTCATCTTCTTCCCCACCCCCTCCCAAGCCTGATAGAGTTCCTTACTCTTTCTTTTTTCCCTCCTCATGATTCTAAAAATTTTCAGGATACTGCCTGAATTTTGAAAACACTTTCAGTTTGGGTGTATCTAATGTTTCTCCATGATTAAATACAGATTATGCATCTAAGACAATAGGCCCAGTAACCGACGTTGCTTCTTTCTCACTGTGTCATATGAGTAGATTTGTTTTTGTCACCTGCCCTTGTGTTGACTCCTAGTTAATAATAACCCTGTGCACAATAGAACTAAAGTCACTGCTTATGATGTCGTCCCCACAAGTAGCGGCAGGTGGGATCACTTAAAGTCATGGGGTTTCATTGGCTGAGTTTTGGGAGTAGATCACCATATTTTCCCCTGAAGTCTGGAAGCCCTGGAGTCTGGAAATGTGTTCAGTATAATAGCAGCATGAGAGCCTCCCTCAGGGGTGGGCGGCTGCACACGTCATTAAGACAGCTGCATATTTGTAAGCGTGACCTTCAGCAGGTATGGATGTCCTGAAAGATGATTTTTCTTGACACTAATTGTCAGAGTCATAGTAAACTTTAACTTTTTTTCTTCAATCCAGGGAATGTCTTTCTATCCTGCAGGTAATTGAGAAGAGCAAACTTGAGCAGCCGTTCTTCTATGAGTTTGAAGGGGGTGTCAAGCTTGGAATAGGAACTTTTAATTTGGTAAGGAAATACTTAAAAGAAAGATGGGCAATCTCTTCCTGTTAGGGTTACTGCCTCTGAAAACCCGCTGGAGGGTCAGGCTATAAGTCGATTCTAACTCTGTGGTACCTAACAAAAAGAGGATAAACGTGCATGGTTACCAATTTCTGGTATTATTGAAATGTTCTTAACGTTATTTGATAACTGTAAGAGATTGATAATAGTCTGCTTAAATACATCAAAACATAAATATATCTTTTTTTTTTCTTATTATTATAGATGCTGTCCCTTTTACCAGCAAGGATTATCAGACTACTGGAATTTATTGGATTTTCTGGAAACAGGGTACAGATTTAATTTTATATTAGCAAGAAAGATAAAACATTTTTTACTGATTTTAAGGGCAATGTTTTTCCTCATAACTAGTGTGATAATTTTCAGGAATTAGTTGTGGTTTTTCTGCTAAGATGTAAAAGTTATCACCTTTGTTAGCTAAATTCTAAGATTAAAAATTATGTTTTACTAATACTGTTCTTGTTGGACCTGTGGTCCTCTTATACTTCCTTTACCTGCTAGTGACCCTCAAATCTTAATCCATAAAGTGAAGAATTTAGGCTAGAATCCATGTCTGACGTTTATGATTATAATGACTTGGACAGGATGACTCAGGCAAAGTTGGAGTAATTTGGATTGCCTAGAATCTTTGTTTTCTTGATATTAAAGCTCAACATCAAGAAAACAAAGACCTCTCAAAAGTATTGAAGAACAATGATGTCCTTCTGGAGACTAAGGTGCACCTGATTCAGGCCATGTTTTTTGCCATTACTTGCTATGCTGGGCAATGACTAGGCATGATAGAAGAATTGATGCCTTTGAGCTGTGGTGTTGGAAAAGAGTCTTCAATATACAGTTAGAAAAACAAAACAGGTTCGACCTGGAGAGGGTGAAACAAGGTTGCTTTTTGGAGGCAAGGATTCTGAAACTTCGTCTGACATACTTTGGACATTTTGCAAGGAGGGACCAGTCCTTGGAGAGGGATGCCATGCTTTGGAGGGTGGAGGGGCAACGCGAAGACCTTCAATGAGATGGATTGATTCAATGACTGGGGCAACGGGGGTAGGTGTGTTAGAGACAATAAGATTGTCACAGGATAGAGCAGGGTTTAGGGCTCTTGTACATAAGGTCGTTATGAGTTTCAGGTGATTCGATGGCACAGAACAATAATAAGAAGGAAGTCTGGTGGTCATTGCATATTAGGCTACATGTTGCACTAACCTAAAGGTTAACATTTCAAATCTACCAGATGTTCCTTGGAGTAAAGATGGGCAGCCTCTGCATAAAGGTTTACAGCCTCAGGAACCTAATGGGAGGTTCCTGTGAGTTGCAGAAAACTCAAGTGGTGGGATTGTTTGCTTCTCTGGGAAGGGATGGTTGTGTTTTCTCAAGTTGAATTATAAAACTAGAAGAGAAAATTGCTTTGCATGAGCTTCATTAATGAGGCTGTGCTGTTTTGTAGCATGTAACATTTGTGTCTTTTATTTGCAATGAATAAATCATTATAAATACAAAATTTAGTCATTCTATTTCCAACCTTATTTCTATCACCAAGCCTGTATTGCCCAACTACTATTCCTTCTTCATTACTGTTTCCTACTTCTGCAGTTCAGTCACCAATTATCATTAACACATCTTGATTACATGTCTGGTCAATTTCGCACTGCAAAATTTGGTTAAAAAAAATCTCAATATCTTCCTCTTTGGCTCTAAATGTAGGCACATATATTTAAATAATAGTCTTATTAGTGATTCTTCCTTGTATGTGTATGGATTGGAATTGGGAAGGGAGTGCTCCAGGATTATATTCTCTCTCCATACAATCTGTATCTGTATTCTCTCTCTCTTTTCATTCTGTATGCTGAGCAAATTATCTGAGAAGCTGGGTTCTGTGAGGAGGAGTATGGCATCAGGATTGGAGGGAGACTCATCAATAACCTGCGTTATGCAGATGATACAATGATACAAACGTGCTTGCTGAAAGTGAGGACTTGAAGTACTTGTTGCAGAAGATCAAGGAATGCAGCCTTCGGTATGGATTGCGTCTCAGTGCTAGGGAAACAAAGATTCCTGTCGGTGTACGGATAGACAGCATCATGATTGATGGAGAGGAGATTGAAACTGTCAGCAGCTTCATCTTGCTTGTTTTACAATTAACCCCCTTAGTACCCGCAATCAGGAAATAAAGAGATGCATTGCACTGGGAAAGTCTGCAATTAGGGATCTTTCCAAATTATTGAGGAGTAGTGATATCAGTTTGAAGACTAAGGTGCGTCTGATTCAGGCCATAGTTTTTCCGATTACTTGTTAAGCATCTGAGAGTTGTTGGACAATGAATAAGAATGACAGGAATTTATGCCTTTGAGCTGTGGTGTTGGAGAAGAGCACTGAACATCCCATATTCAAGAGAACAAAAAGAAGTGAGAGGGTGAAACTGGAGGGCTCTTTGGAGGCAAGAATGATGAGGCTTTGCCTCCCATACTTTGGACATCTTGGTAGGAGGTGCTATTCCTTGGAGAAGGACATGATGCTGGGAAAGGTGAAGAGTCAGCAAAGGAGAAGAAGACCCTCAACCAGGTTGATTGACAAGCTGATTGCTGCTGTGGGGTCTAGTGTGTCAGAAGGTGTGAAGATGGCACAGGATAGAACAGGGTTCAGATCTGTTGTTCATACAGCCGCTGAGTGATGCTTGACTTGATGACACCTAACAACAACAACAAACATTTGTTAGTTGTAACATTCAATGAATATGCTATTGTAACAATTGTCTTCTTCCAAAAACTTTACTTTTAGTCAAGAGAGTCAGTTTGGAGACACCTAAGAACAATGCAAGATGCCGTCACTTTCTTCTGGTTACCACTGTTCATGTTCTTCGGAAGCTGGCTGGAGTGTGTTTCTGGAAGCCCTTTCATAATCTGTTGTTTCCAGTCTACTGTGACTCTGTAGGTCATGATCACCTTCTGCTTGACCATTCATCATCTTCCTTTGACTTCAGTGGCTCCCAGTTGCCTTGTGAATAAAGTCTGAACTGTGACCTGGCTTCAGGACTCCAGCCTTTGTTCCAGCTTTGTTACTCAGACTTGTCACTTTCCCAGGACTTCTAAACTGGTCATTGGCTGTTCCTCAGACTTTCCAGGGCTTCTGCTGGGCTCTCTAGTTTCGATGCCCTCCTCCCAAATATTGTTTGGGAATAGAAAAAAGTAACTAACCTCTTTTTCTATTTCATTTACTCTGGCTTCCAGAAAACTTTCCCCTCAAGACTCAAGTATCTACCTTAAAATGATTTATCTATTTAGTTTTCATGTGGCATTCAGTGCATTCTAATATATAAGAAATAATAGAGTGGTCATATCTTTTATGAATGCAACTGACTAGTAGAGTAATAACTTTCATTGCTGTTGAGTCCCAACTGACTCGTAGCTGACCCTTAGGCTGGTTTCGGAGGCTGTAAATAGCCCAGGAGGAGTTGCTCATCTTTCTTCCACAGGCACCAGTGGTGGGTTCTCACCCCCTCAAGGCCAGGCCTTTGAATTAGCAACATGACTTACTGCAGACTATGCCATCAACACTCTCTAGTAAAGTAGTACAGTAAGAAAATGATGTACTGATTGAATGATCCTTTTAAGGTATAGACCCATATCTCGTTTATACCCACTGTAGCCCTTTGCATTTAGTTCCTGAATGCTTTCTAGTGAATTAATATTTTTAGCAGAAACATTTCTACTAAATGAGCTCTGCCATTCTCTTTGTAAAATAACACACTGTAGAAGAATTTGTGAGAATGCCTTATGCTAGTTTGTAATGTCAATTTTGTTTCTGATTATCAGTAAAAAAGGCATCACCACCACTTTGAGTGCTAGGAAAATGAACCCCGAGTACATGAGCAAGAGTGATTCATTGTCCCACTCTGTGTAACATGTGCTTCGTTCTCCCAGGAGTTGGGACTCTTGCAGCTACGAGAAGGTGCATCAGGAAGAAGCATGAGAGCTCCGCTTTGCTGCTTGACCATCCTAGCTTTCCATACCTACATCTGCCTGATACTTGGTAAGGGCTGGGTTATGTTTTGTTTCACTGAAAGTTGATTGTCTTAACTCTGCTTTGTAAGGAAACATTGAGGAAGATCAGTAAGCATTTATATTTACTACTTTTTTCCTCCCTCAAAGATGGAGAAAAAGTTAAGGACTATGTTTCATTTTTATTAGACGTCCTCATAGTAATAGTATTATTTAACCAAGAGGGAGGGATTGTTACAGAGTTTTAAAAATCCGTTTTAAATTTTAAAAACTTCTGTAAATGTTGTGTTGTAATATCTATTTAAGTATGTTCAGATTAGATTTCTTTTTTAGTACAAAATAAATTTTTGTTTAAGTTAAGTCAGTTGTGCTGTTAAAGCTAGACATTTCTGGAAGGAATCTAAGACAGCCAAGTCCATTCTTCAGAATGTATCAGTCTGCTCTGAAGTTGTCATGAATTAAAGTCATAGGTGAAATGTATCACATTTTAGTATAAAATGTTGCAGTGTCAGGTTTTGTTTTGTCACTGATGAAGCTTTTGCTGTGTTAGTGAAACTTGGAGAGCTAGTCATGTATCTACCTACCTCTGTGTTTCATGAAGACTGAGATTTTCCCTGTTTAATTCGTAGGTACGGGAGAAGTGAACATTGTGGAAGCAGAGAGTCTCCTTGCGCCCTTTCTCCAGCAGTTTCCAAATGTATGCTCAGTGTTTGATGCGTATGTTTCAGCCATAATAGATGCACAGCACGGAGTGTTGAGCTGCGTCTTTCCTTCCTTTCCTGCAGGGCTCGCTCATGCTGTTCTATCACGCCCGCATAGAGCTGCTCAAGGGCAATGTGGAAGAGGTAATCCGTTCCGAGCTTGCCGTATCATAGCCTTTCTTTCATCAGACACTCTTTCAACATTTATTTAAAGTTGGAGTGTGGACTGGATAAAAGTTTAAGAAAAAAGTTATTAAAAAAATAATAAATAAAAAAAGAAAAAAAATTTCTAAAAAGCCAAGATTAGTTTTGCCCAGGCATTCTTAGATACAGTCTGTGTTTACAGATAAAAATCCATGAGGGAGTTCAAACTAGATGGTGTGAGATAATGTCCACAGAGTTAAGAGATCACACTCACCTGGGATCCAGCCCTGCACGGGTGACACCTCGCTGTGCTGCTCTGGGCTCCGTCTCAGAGGCTCACTCAGCTTCTTGAGGACGGGACGACAAGGGTCAGAGGGAGAAGAATGTGGAGCCTTTTGCATAAATACACTCACAAGTTTTTCTGTACAAAGTTAAATACATTATAATTGTTCTATGTTGGATGTTTCCTCCCCTTCCTTTTTTTCCTGCTTGTGCTTCATCTTGGATGTCTTTCCAGGTCAGTATATGACGTCTTCCTAATTCATTTTTAGTAACTAGGTTGAATTCCATGAGATGGGTACACCATACTTGTTAAAATTTTCATTGATGTCAAGTTGAAATGGACTCATAGCTGACCCTCCAGTGGGCTGTCGGAGGCTGTAAATTGCATGGGAGGAGACTGCTCATCTTTCTCCTGGAGCTGCTGGTTTGAACCCTCAGAAAGGTGCCACCACTTGGGTTTATGCGGGTCTCTGTGGACCACACCACCAGAGGTCCCTGTACTCACTAAAGCATCATCCCGTTTCTCAACATTTGTCTGCTACAAGCAGTGCCTTTATTTTAAACATTATTATTGTGCTCCTATTTCTGTGCGCAGGTTTAGTTCTGTAAAACCGATTCATAAAAATAGAGTTTCTGGATCAGAAGATATGTGCCTTCTGATCAATCCAGCAAAACCATCATCCTAATTTAAGGTTTATTTGCATTTACATTCCTATAGTGGATGAGAATATTTGTTTCAAGTTCTATTTGTCAGCTCTAGGCAATATCTACTTTTAAAAAGTTTTATTTTGGCCAACCTGGTGGCTAAACATGAGAACAGATTTTTTTAATTGAATTTCTATTTCCATTTTATAAATTTCTTCATGTGTCTGTATTTTCATTTGTATATCTTCCTTTTTTATTTTATCTGATTATCTTTGCCGATTTTCCCATTAAATTCTTTATGTGAGAAGCTGCACTGCAGTCTCAACGGCACGGGTTTGAATCCACCAGCTGCTTCGTGGGAGAAGGATGGGCAGTAGTCTCCTCCTGTCTGATTTACGGACTTGGTGACACACAGCAGCATTGCTTGATAAGGGATTATTCCTTTGTCAGTTACATCTGTATTGGACATTTTCTCCCAGTATATTCGTTGCATTATTTTTGCTTAGGAAGACTTTTGTTTTATGGAAGTCTTGACTTCTTAAGAACTTCTTTGCTTTTTATTTTATTTAGGAAGAAACACTCTCATGTTATGGGGTGCCAGGTCCTCTTTACAGAGTTCATTAAAAAAGCAGAGCTTAACTCTCTGATTGCATGTAAAGAAAGGCACATGTCATCATGGCTATTTTTTGAATGATAATTTTGTTCTTTTGGTACACAGCGTTTTCTGTATTTTCCCATGAGGTTGTTATCTCCTTGTGTAGGGTCTGAATGATCAGCTTTGTGCACTTGACTTATAGGCACAAGAAATATTCCAGAAATGCATTTCAGTTCAAGAAGAGTGGAAGCAGTTTCACCATCTGTGTTATTGGGAGCTGATGTGGATTTTTGTATTCCAACAAAACTGGATGAAGGCATATTACTACTCAGACCTGCTTTGCAAAGAAAGTAAATGGTCCAAGGTAACACGCCATGCTTTAATGTCGTTTGTTTGCACATAAGTGGCCAAAGTGATTTTTACTGTACAACTGTTTGTTCAATAGTGTGACATCAACACTATTTTCTCAACCAGAGCTTCATCAAAGATGGAAGTAGACATTTAGGTACCCACTGTATGTGGCCATTTGACTCATGGCAAATATCTTTATAAAATATCCAAAGAGTTCTTTCTGTCAAAAAGATTACACTTCTAAAATAGGTATATAAAATAAAGCTATTCTAAAGATAAATAATTTATGAATCTTTGTCTTATAACCATTTCTAAAATAAAGATATTATTGAAGATATTATCAATAAATGTTGTTTCGAGTCGAGCACGACTCATAGCGACCCTGTGAACAAAAGGCCTGAAGCCCCTCTACAACTATCGACATTTTTCAAAGTTTATAGAGTTTCTGGAGGCAGGTTGCTTAGGAAGTGGATGCCACTCCTGCTTTCAATATCAATAGATATTTTTTTTAAATGTCCAACGAGTTCTTTTCCACCAAAGAGGTTATATTTTTAAAGACGAGCTGTACTTCTGCTTAAAGTTATTATATACCAGTTATTATTCTTGTTGATTGCTATCGAGTCCAGCATGACTCATAACGACCCTGTGAACAAAAGGCCTGAAGCCCCCTGCAACCATCGACATTTATCAAAGGTCATAGGGTTTCCGGAGGCATGTTATTCAGGAAGTGGATGCCACTCCTGCTTCCAGACCTGCCATAGAATGTTATTGGTTGAGTTGCCTGCAATGTAGCACTGACAATTTTTCATAGGCTTTCTAGTATATTAGTGATCAGACTTTTTTATGACAATAACAGTTTCTATTGAGAGCAATAGGGAGGAATGGACAAGCTTCTCAGCCATAAGCCCTCTAGTTGTATGATAAGAAGATGGCCTAAGTTAAGTGAAAAGTGTCATTTTTATTTGGTAGAGGTAATAATAAACCTTTTTATTTCTCTTTATTATTTCTCCTCTTAAGTATTAGTTATATCCAGAAGGTTTGTAGGTCACCCTTGATTTGCATGGTGGAAATGTCACGGAGTTATTTTCTATAATGAGGTGTGTGTCTTCTTTTCCTCAAGGCAACTTATGTATTCCTGAAAGCTGCAATTTTGAGTATGCTTCCAGAAGAGGCTGTTGTGTCAACTAAAGAGAATGTGGTAGCTTTATTCAGGTAAGCAGGTCATCTAGTAAAGACCGTGACTCTATAGACAAATGAGCACACAAATAGATTGCTTTCAATTTTTAGTATTTTTTCATGCCTCATCTTCATACTGCTTTAATTCACTTAACCAGGAAACCTTAAAATAGTATATTTAGAATATATATTAGAATCAAAATATCATCCTCTCAAGATTTTACAGATATACATGTTCTTTTGTTTGTGTTTGGGAAGAAGAGTTTTGTTACTAAGTTTTTGATACTGAGTTTTGAACAGTTTCTGAAGTTGGTAATGTTATTAGTAAATGTTTTGCACTGTTGCTGTGATTAAAAGATTTGCAGTGACCAGATAAATCTAAGAAACTCCATTAACATATTCTTAGTTTTCATGAGTATGCCAAAGATTTTAGAGGCTCTGCTTTGAAATAACCTGCTTAACTTTATCCACGCCAGTATGCCAACAATTTACGCATTATCCTTCCCAAAGTCTTCCTAAGCTAGATAGTAAATCTATAATATTTTTATCACTCCTATACACTAAAGTCCGTAATATTTCTGTGGCACACCTACTGTGTACTAGTTGGGTGTCACTGAGTTGTTCAGTCCTCTTGGACAGAGTTGAAGGCATCTGTGTGATCTTTGCAGGAGTTTATTACCATGCTGTTCTTCTGTAGAACCATTGAGTAGGTTTGAACCATCAACCTTGTGGTTGACAGGTCCCCAGAATGAATGGCCTTCTTATGCAAATGCTGATCTTTAAACCATTGCCTTTTCCACTGATATGATGGAACATCTTAGTTTAAAATTGAAATCCCCAAATTGTGCTCAAAAAATACTACAAACTTGCTGTAATACCACAGTATTTTTTTCCTCACTCCATTTTACTTTTTCAGTAATACCATTTGATTGACCCTTTAATTCTTCCTCAGCATTTGCAAAGTTATATACACACGGAAGTACTCCCAGGATCATATCAACCTCATTTTTATTCTGGCTTTGTTCTTACATTTCATTAGTGGAATTCCTAAAAATGGAGAGATGTAATATATAAACATGGTGCATGTCCTTAGCTGATTATTTCAAGAGTCATTCATATTTGGGAAACATTTTAAAAATGATTCATTAATGTGCCCGTCTTTTGAGGCACCTTATTTATTTGTGTCGTGCCTACAGAGAGGAGTAGGAAATGTACCAGTATGCACTTTTCCTTTCCTAAATATTTATGGGGTAGATGATAAAGTGAAGAGTGCTCTAGGATCTTTTCTGATTACTTAACAAACCCAAACCCTGCTCCTGTCTTGTGGGTCCTGACTCACGGCCATCCTTCCTTGGGATTTCGAGGCTGTAAATCTGTCTTTATAGGAAGAGATTGCCTGTCTCTTTTCTGCAGAGCAGTTGGTAAATTTGAACAGTCAACCTTTTGGTTAGCAGCCCAACAAGTTATGCAGCATACCACTGGATTTGGGTCACTGTGAGTCAGAATGATGACTCCTAGTGACCCTCCTTTCTCTTCAAAGACTAAATGTTTATGAGAGGAGACTGCCAACTTTTTCCATGGAGCCACCTGGTGGATTTGAACCACCAGTTCCATGGTTAGCATACTGACCTGACCAGGAAGTGCTCCTTTAGATATTAGTAAATTGACTGGGAAATTTTTTTTTAATGTGTGTACCATCAAATTGGATCTGACTGGTACAGGAGGATATTGTCCCTCCTTCTTCAGAGCATCTGGTGGATTCGAACCGCTCACCTCTGGGATTGCAGTGCAGCTTCTTGCCACTAGAAACATGTCTTTAAAAGTAATTTCATGTTTCCCTTTGTTAGTGAAGCTCTTGGAAAATGCAAAATCACACAGTGTGTATTAAAATTCTGCTGCAAAATGATGTTCCGGAGTCAGTTCTACGAATGAAGTTTAACTTGTGGCCTGTATTGGCTGAAACGTATATTGACTGTAAAATCAGCCGTACTCAGATTTGAGCATTCATCAAAATCACCTGCACATGACCCAGCCTTACCCCTTGAAGTCTCTGACTCAGGGATAGGGGGCCAGAAAGTTTATATTTCTATCAGGCCCAGGGGATGAGTTTGCTCCTTGAGGATGCATTCTCTGAAAGTACAGAATATGTAAATGTGTATGTTCTAATGCCTTCATCTTTCATGGGACTCTTCACAGACAGGTGGAAAGCTTGAAGCAGAGAATTGCTGGGAAATCCATTCCTACCGAGAAGTTTGCCGTGAGGAAGGCCCGGCGATACTCCACTGTGGCATCTGCCCCCGTGAAACTCGTCTTACCTGCCCTGGTACGTGGTTCTGGTTTATGCCCTGTTTTGAGTGCTGGGAAGAAGTTGTCCACAGCAGCCGGGAGCACATCTAACTTTCCTTGTGACATTTGACTCAGTTTCTCTAGAAGGTGAACATTTATAAAGAAACTACTTACTTGTTTATTAATAAATAGCAATCCTGATTTTCTTTTTTAGGATAGTATGCATCAGCCTTTGTGATAAAAGTTACTTTAAAAATATTTGACTCAATTCTTACCATATGTCTAGGAGAATAATTCTCTCTTTAATCTCATCTTACAGATAAGGAGATTCACATAGAGGTTCAGGGGACTTAATCAAGACCATATGTTAAACTTTAATAGTAGAACTGATACCAGAATAGCATTTTTCAGAATTATAATACATGCTATATGTGATTTTGCATTTTCCAAGAGCTTCATTAATAAAAGGAAAAATGAAATTAATTTTTTTCCCTTTTCTTGGTATTTTATTATTTTTTTTTTCTTTAGGTTGTTTATTTTTCATTTCAATGAACATCTACAGAGATTTTGGGATTCCATTCATTCATT